TATTATACTCGTTGAGTTAGCGTACACAAATTTTATATTTTACGAGAAATTTAATCTGATACCAGAGATTTATCTATATAAAAAATAAGGTATTTACAGTAACCTAATCTACCCATATATTTGTTTACACTATTAATTTGTATAATAATTATTTCAAATTTAGTTAATTAATTTTTAGCCATAAGTTCATATTAAAAGTAAATAATTAAAGATTAATATTCAAAAACAATAATTTTAACAGCGGTATTTACATTACACTAATCACATGCTTAGATTGTTAGGTAATTCTACTACGATTGTTGATTAAACAACAATACTAAACTCTTGACTTTTAATAAACACTAAGCGAATAATGCCATTTGACATTGGAAATTCCTGGTGAACTAGTAAACTAAACTACAATGACGAGATATCTGTGCGATAACAACAGCCTTTATTTTCTTAATTTTCTTTTTACTTTATTTTTCACACATAAATCCTTCATAACCAATCGCACATTTATAGTTTAATATGAAGACAACAATTCACATACATATCCTATTTCGGGAAATATATCTCCATGGAAGTATATTATAAGCTCTTACACTGCATGCAATATAATATTTTCAATTTTTACTTTGAATATAACTCAGAAGACTGATACTTACATTATTACTTTCTTTGACAACACTGATATTTTTTCTTTGAATCTAGACTAACCAATTCTCAATAATTATGTTTTAATACTCTAAAGTTGGTTTCTTCTCTAAATAGTTAAAATTAATAAAATCAAATTTAGCCGCATAATCTTCATACTTTGCTCCATCAACAAGTATTTCATAATATGTATCAACAACTACGTAATATCTTAACAAGACAATATTGAATATCCATATATAGAACTAAACACCTTAAAAACATTTAAATTAGTTCTATCATTTAAAAACAAAATGTAAATCGTTAAACTTACGTCTTAATATTTTGAGAAATATAATATTATAGGTTTTAAACTTTTACAAAGGACTAACATTTTATTATACAATAAAATTATATGAACGGGCTTAACTTATGGGCTAATTAGGCTTTAGAATACTGCTAAAAAGTTAAGTTCTACAATCCTTTTAATCGATATTATTATTACGTAGTATTACAGTTATAGTTACCATATTAGCGCAGTAAAAAATTCTACGCGATGACAATTAACCACCCAAATTCATTACCTAATCTACAACCTCAAATCTTTATGCAATTTAATCATCCCCTTGTACCGTTTAAAGCAATATTAGCTAAGTGACCTTATAAAAAAAAAAAAAAATGTTATCCAAAACAAATAAATTACAAAATGTGTTGAGTTCATTAAGAAACACATTCTATACCATATTTTATTGTAATAAAATTTTTACTTATTTATAATATATACCTATACAAATTGTGAATATTTCTTTTTTAAAAATGAAAAAAAAAATTACTTTTTTAAAATGTATGATTCATAAAATCCTAACATTGTTATTTATAACCTCATTTTATATTTTTGTAACCTATTAATTATTTGTATTGCTGAAATCGCTGTCAAGATAAGATTTATAAATGGTGATTAATGACTTACATTTGTGTTTTAAAAATATTAGCATTTAGCTAGACACTTTTTACACATTTTTAGCATAAAATAGATATTTAATATTAAAGCATTAATAAACATCAAAAATTTATGCTAGCGGATGAATAGTCGAAAATATAATGTTTATTTCCATCATGGTCCCACTAAATAGTATAGGAACCTAAATATTAGTCATATAAATAGTAAAAATATTATAATTATTATTGTTATAGCATGTACTTTATTGCGTAGTTCATACATAAAATATAATAACAATCTTTTTAAAAATGTTTGGTAAAATCATTAACTGTAAAGGATTACCCTTAATTCCTGATTCTAGTATTTTAATTATAACTAATAAATACTGATTATTATAATTTATAACAGTGATTAGTATTTAAAATGTAATGTAAATACCGTAAACGGGTGTAATATACTTACAAATATCGTATATAAAGGAATTTTATTAAAAATATTTAATACCTTTAACACTATATTATATTATCCACGATATTATGTGACCTGAGATTCCTATTAAATTTATATTTTATGTTCACGTTTAATGTTCAAATAATATAATATAGTACAAAAATATGCTGTTAATGACATTAAATTACAAGCTGGCTGTGTGAATGTTTAATATTATTTCAATTTTCAATAGCCACAACACTATCAAAAAGTTTTTATTTTTTTCATTTTGTCAAACTGTACATATTATTTTTATTTCTCGAAAATCTTTTGATATCATACTTTTTTACTCGTTTTCCCCATTTCAAATGCACGCACGTTGTTTGGTCGTGTGTATATATACCTACCCCCCCGGCGGCCGTCGCGAACTCGTGTTTTCTGTTTGAGTCAGATATTTGTTCATTTTCTCTGTATAATATCGCTTACGGCACTTTCATTTTCAAGATATTTCAGCAGCATAACCTCACAGTAGACATCTGTTTTTTTATAGTTAAAATAGGTATAATAAAATAATCTTACTAATTTATTAAAAAAAAAATAAATACAATTTAATAATAAACACAGTTTTTATTAGTTTACATAAAATAATATTGATAGGTAAAAGGACCAATTTTAAGTTAATTCTATAATGTTTTAAATTGTAAGACATCAATTTTATTGCTGTATTACAGCACTATATTGTACCTATAATACCATATAATAATATCATATTATATTGTATCTTAGTTTTTAAAATTGAATAAGTTTCAAAAAAAAATAATACATATATATATATTAACTTTATGTGAATGACTTATAAGCCTAGTATTTTACAAAAAAAAAAAAAAGAAAACTTTTTTGTGTATTTATATACATTATCGATAAACCATTTAAACGTGAGCGTCCTTAGGGGAGAGAACAAGACGGGGCACTTGCCCCCCTAGAATTTTAAATTTATTTCCTAATTGTAATAATTTAATGTTATATTGACGAAACATAATAATGTTCTATAAATAAAACGTATAATAATAATACCTAATTGTAATAATAACAAAACATGATAATGTACTATAAAAAAAAATGTATAAAAAAATCTTTATTTATTTTTTAAACTAATTCCCTCTCCCTCTAGAAAAATGTTTGGGGACACTCATACATTTAAAGAAAATAAAAAAAGGTCAGTTGTTATTTCCCTTCCAAAAATCCCCTTCATCAAAAAATCTCACATGTACATTCATTTATACGCACACAACTGTAGTGTAGAAGTCCAAATTTGTGTCATATAAACAATTGTTTTTATTATTACATTACCCTTTTTGAGTAACCAATTAATTTTTTAATTATCATTAAACAACAAAATATTGTATTTTAAAACTAATATATTTTTTTTTTTAACAACAATCAGGGAAATTACATCATCAGCTACCTTCATTATTTTATGAATTTGATAATTCTTCTTTCACATATTTCACTCTTTTTTTATAATTTTATGAAGAACTTTTTGAATGTTATTTAGGGTGCTTTAAAATAAATTCATAAACATGTGAAATTAAATTTTTAAAACGTTTTTTTCGTAATAATTAACGATCTAATGGTTTAACATGAAAACGGTTTTTTTTATTTGTTCACAATACATATTTTATTATTGATAATACATTTTCTTCAGATGCAGTTTATTTCAGGAATAGCTATGAGTATTTGATAATTAATGTTGAAGGGTTGTTGACGGAAATTCCATTTGTTTCTAGCGTTTTAAATACATCACGTCATTTTTCTGTTTCACGCTTATCGCTAATTGAATTGTTCATCGGCACCGGCTTTCGATCCTCATTCCACGAAAACTGTTATCTTTTATTTATAACTTTGGTTAAAAAACTATTTTAGATTTGTTTCATACATTGATTTTTTTAAAAAATATAATATGATAAAACAGGGTTGAAACAGGATCATCTTCTAAAAACCGGATAAAAAATGTCCCGTTTGAAGTTTGTCGTGATAACGGGACATGATGATTTAAAAAGGAACAATCCCGTTTTAGACGGGACATTTGATCACCCTAGGTTAGAGTGGCAGCATGTAAGCATATCTATTAAGAACGCTAACAACTTTAGATTAAAAAGTTTAATTTCGTATGAATATAATATCGTTACGAATATCTTCGAATATCATATTTTTATTCAACTGCGTTTCCTTGAATTTCGTCTAGCACTTTTTTAAATGTTTTGTTAATTCGTAGAACTGATAATGATGTCTGAAAAAAGTGTACGCGTGCTTAGAAAAAAATGTCCATAATATTTGCATTATATTAGTAACTATATAGTAAACACTGCAGATATATAATTATTATCTAAAAATATTTAATCATGAAATACACACAACGGAAAATTGAATCGTCCTGATTGTATTTTAGGTCAAAATAACTTATAAGCGGTATATTTCTTTGAATAAACGATACGTTTCTACGAAAAATCTTGGCGCGATGCATAACAGCTATTCTAAGTCGAAATATACCGTCTCTCTTTCCAGGATCCTTTTCTTGAACAGATATAATAGTATATTATTAATATTATTATTATTTATTATCATTATTGTTATAAAGTGTACGCATAGTTTCCCTTTGAAAGACACGCGCGTACATATTGCCGGCAAGTAAACAATGCTGGTAAATATTAATATAACTATTGCTTACGGTATTTATATAAAATGTTATAATAATATTAAAACCATTTAATACCGTACTATATATATATATATATATATATATATATATATACGGTCGGTAATCGACTGAAAGGTTTTCTACGATTCCGCCGTTGTGTTAAGAAGAGAAGGTTGAATGGTAATAGCGGTGTAAGAGGCGGGTGCACTTACAGTCCCCAACCATCACCACCTGTGTTTAATTAACGTTATATCGTTATTATTATTATTATTATCATCATCATCGTCGTTATTACAATTTATTTCGTTCGTGTTTCAGGTATATCGATGCACAAAGGATTTGCTTTCGTTCAGTTCACTAATCCCTTTGACGCTCGTAGTGCTTGTGTTGGAGAAGATTCCCGGACAGTTTTGGGACAAACATTGGGTAATTATTACGATATACCTATTACAATATCTCCTAAATGTGTTGTTCGAGTAGCATATCCTCACTAGTTTTTTAATTTACTATCTTTATTATCATTTCTGTTACACTTATTTTTTCGTTTATTTACATTTTGTTATATGTCTATTTATATCTATAATAATTAATATTAGACTAAAAAATAAATATAATATTCTAAAATTTTCTGATTTGATGCATTAACAATTAATGTTAATTTTTATAATGTACTTTGGTGGAGGATTCTTCAAATTCTTTGTAATATATTTATTAACGTCTTCACAAATAATATTTTATCTATTAATAAACTTTTCAAAGTGACGTAATAAATTATGCATATGTTAAGCGACGGAAATAATTATTAATTACTGCCAACTCAGATTATCAGATCATAAAAAATATACTTTTTTTTTAAAGCGAATCCTTATAACAAAAAATTGATGAGTTGATTGATATTAAAATAGCTAAACTAAATATAATATAAATTATTATAATTTTGATACTATGTATAACTGTACAAAAAAAGTAATAAATATACTTGTAAAAATATCTTTAAGTTAGGAATCCATAATTATTGTTTTATCTAAAACTAAAAAACTTATTAAAGAATTGATCATAATATATGATATATCATGTTATTATATTTATTTTAAGTCTCAAATAGCATTAGTCAATTTAAGTTATGTGTATGAAACGTACAAATATAAAAAACTAAATTGTATTTCTATCATATTTATTCAATATGAGAATAATTTTTTTTTTATTAAATGTGTATTAAGTATACTATGTAGGTAAATTAAAGTAATAATTTATTAATTCTACTTTAAGAATAAACTATAATTATAACTATTAACTAAAAAAATGTTTAAACTTATCTATATTTTATAACAATTATCATAGATATATTTTATTTTTATTTGAAGTATTATTAACGTTGTCGAGTACAAAAAGTTCGAACAATACATATTCACATTATTCACTTGATGATAATATATAATAATAATAATAATAATAATAATATATACTTTATAGGGATTCGCATGAAAAAAAAATGATGCTTGGTAAATAACTCTAAGTACCATCGTATATTATATGTAGGGCTTCTTCTTCAAAGAAACCTTAGCGATACGTTTATGTATAATAATATATATATGTGATATATTATTATGCATATAATAACTATAGGCAAAAAATGTACCTAATAACTGTAGTCTCTAATAATAGTTATAACTGTATATTAAGTACAATTTTCTTTTTATAAATTAATACGTAGTAAAATGATTATTTTTATATTAGCAATTTGTATATAAGGTGAGATTTGAGATTTACTATGCAATACCTTGTTCCCTAAACAGAATTTTGTATTTATTTTTGAGCAAATATTTATTATTCAATGTTTGTAGGAACTTCATGACTTTGATGATTTTTGTGATTCTGATTCTACCCGTTTGTCGAGAAAGTCGAATTTTTCTCAGTTGCACCTTGAGCTAAATTTGAGAATACATATTAAACATTGAGTCAAAAGAAATTAAATAGAGAAGGTAATGGATAAAACACATATATAACTCTAAAAAAATTATAAGATATATCATATAAGTAGTTTATAATTATAAACAGCACCTGCTTCAAGTGAGTAGGTATTTCCTTCATATATATATTTTTTAATTTGGACAAGGTTTGAAACCTTCACATTACTATTATTTAAAAATGAAATAACAAAAGTATAATCAAATTATAACACTATTGATGAATTAGGAAACCAAACATATAAATAAATAATAGCAAGTTTATATAAATAACATCATTATGAGATTATAAACATTAAATACTATTGGTTTAATTGAAATGTCTTAGCTTTTGTTTCCGACCGAGGAATTTATTGATTTTATAATAATGTGTTCTTTCTATCGTCATGTTTATGAGATTTATTTCTATTTTATTTATTTAAAAAATTAAAAATAATTAATAGGAAAATCTACGAGAAACTAGGAATATTTTGCAATATCATTTTTGAGAAAACTGATTTGTTGTAATTTACATATGAAAAGTTGTAGTAAACAGAATATTCATAAAAAGCATTAGGATTTTTAAAACATGATTTATTTATTTTTTAGGTAAAAAAATTTTACATTAAGTTACTCATAAATATTTTTAACAAAAAATTAAATTTTAAAAATAGGGTTGCAATTGTATTATTATTATTGTTTATTATATAATAGTTTGAAGTTTAAACTTAAATATTATTTCTTATAACCTTGAAGATTCACAAATTCGCTATTTATTTCATAGTTGGAAATTCCTAATATTTTCAATGTTTTAATTTCGTGTCATTATTTTTATAAAAGATTCCTCATAAGTTGTATTTACTGGAGTTAAAATTCACCAAATTAAGTTAATACTTACAACTTACGTAAAATAAAACATTGAAATGAATAAATTTTTATAAACTCTGTTTAGCAGAAGTGGATGATTTTCGTATATTTTTCATATTAGTCTAACATTGAAACTATTGAATTTTTATCACAGTGAACCTACCTCAATCAATAGATTAATCCTTAGTATATAATAATTAAGAGAAGTGAGTTTTGCGATTTGATTTTTTAACTCTTTATTATTAAAAATTAAGGATTGAAAAAATAATGAAAACACATAAATCAAATATGCACTTTTTGTTTGTATTTTTCATATTTATGCGCTATTATGTATATTTTATATTATTAATCTATAGAAAGGGACCAAAAACAAAACCACTTATCTTAAGATAAAATAACACATACTTACAAAATGTATGAACTGTGAATTTCTCTAGAATAATAAACATAAAATTCAAGGCCTCTAAAATAACAAACATAACATTAAAGTTCTCATTTTTTGATATTATTAATATTTAATAGTATTTTAAAACTGTTTATTAATCATTTCAAGGTCATATAAATTAAACCTTGATCATATAATTATATAATGGATAAAATTATCCATGTCTCATAATTGGCCAACCTCGTACAGTTATGTGACTGACACAATGACGGTGATTAAACCAGTACCATATTCTGTTTCAAATTTATTTGGTTTGTGAAAAATCCGTTTACTATAAAATTCTGTCTATAAATAAATAACCTTCATGAAATATCACAATTATTAACATTTTGTGATACGTCCCTCGTGATAGTTCTTAGTGACGTCTATACTATCATTATATTAGTACAAAGGGCAGGTGTCCATAAACCATCGGTGTCATCTTGACATAAGAATCAATAATTTAATTTTGGTCGGAAAGTATCTTGGTTCCGAGGTTCGCAACTGATTTTCAATTTTTTTTCGAATTCAATGTAATATAATCTAAAATCATTACTATACCGAAATATACTTCGAAAGTCCATCGATGTGTCTGCATCAGTTACGGTATATATGCACGTGCGCGTGCGCACGATAGATATATCGGTACATTATTCAAGCTGCTTTTAAAACGCGCGACTATAATATTTTATTATTCATTTGTTCGCACCTTTTTCACACCCAAACTCCAGCACTCCCCTTTGCGTCCAAAAAGAAAAATCCCTCCCCGCACGTCTTATTTTTTTCTATTAGTGGCCAACGAGAACGTTCCGGTAAACCCGCAATTTCATGCATATTGCAGTGTATACACAGTATATACATTATACATTTATACATATATTATACGTGTGTGTGAGAGACGGTATAATAAAATCGTAATTCTTATTTTACTGCGCTCTCCGCCATTCGATTCGGTCCCTTTCTGAACGATTGTTCAGCCACGACTGGCACGATATAATCCTGCTAGTTCTTCGTCATTATCCTACACCTGGTCGTGGAAGGGGTATTATGTATATTAATATATGCATACATCACGCGCCCACGAAACCGTTTCTGGATGAATTGGATGGGATTAAAGTTTGTGTTGTGCATACGCGGAAAAACGGTCGAATAGTATGCAGTGTACACTGCACACAATATTATATCTTAAGAAGGGGTGGGGTGAGTGTGCAGGAAAATGTTAAAAAGAAAGAAAAACGATTTAATTTTTTTCTCTCTGCGTCTTAGTACCGAACCTACATATATAAATATCAACGCGTATGTGAATGGCGCACGAGAGAACACCAGGCACGGGCTGTGCGGTGCCCGTGAGAATTTAACAGTTTGGCGTTGTGCATGACAGAAACGATTCAAAGTTTCAAAAGTCGTTACGACTCGCCCGCCCATGCCTCTCTACGACCTTTGCATAAATATACATACATACAAACGTGCGTATTATAATATTCTACGGGATAGTTGGACGGTGTGTGCTAGAGAGTCGGCGAGTAGATGGGCGGGTACGGCAACAAAGTGCCTAGAAAGTATCCGAAGATAATTTTGTTCGTTTTGACATTGCAGCAAATTATATTGCGCTTTTTTTTCTTCCCTCTCCAACTACTTTGCAGCGCTGCTACCGTCGACGCGGGCCCGTCTTACCAATGCAACACACAAATAGAGCGTTTTTCAATTGCTCTCATGGGATTGCATGTGTATGACACTAAATAACAAAAAGTAAGAACCAAACAATCGTGTATTTTATCTAGATTGACTTGTGGTTTTTTGAAAGAACTTTTCAAACTGTCATATATGGATATTTTATAAACGGGTCGTCGAGTGTCAAAAATATGCAAACTATATACCATACGATATTTATATAATAATTCTATCGTTAAATAGGCTTATAATATTATTTATTTATTAATAATTGTATGATTGATATTAAAAGATTTGTACTATATGAATAAATTGTATAATATAAATAAAAAAAATTCGTAAAATATGTTTAAGAATATTATACAATACTGTACATTACAAACTAACTCATTATAGGTAGTTTTAAATAAAAATGTATAACTCAAATATGGGTCTAGCTTTTTCTAATACTCTAACAAATTTCAAGATTTCATTTGATATAATATCAACAATTGATTGATTATCTTATAATCGGCTTT